AAATGTGTCACGTTTCTAATGTAAATATTTATGTACCACCCCGATGTTACACATGACTTCGGAGTAATTTGTTACAGTAATATAGAAAATAACAAAAAATCTCTTGCTGGATCTAGGAAATCAACTTAATAATTCTCTTCAATTGGAAATTGGACTTTATTTATATTTATGTGGTATAACTTCTGAAGCTATTGATATAATGTCAAGACTTAGTATTGTGAGATTGTAAATGAGGACTGAGGAAGTCCCGAGCATGTCGATCAATCGAAACTAACTTACTGTGGTAGTCACGTGATAATGACATCATTTTCTATTTTTATCTTAATATTTTGTGTACCAACTACGCCACATACTGCGTCATGTTACACATTACATCATTTCTATTTTTAACTTATTTTATGACATAATTATTTACTTTTAATTATTAATTCAATTATTTGTAATAGTGACTCATAGGATTAGTCATTATGAGTCATAGCATTAGTAATTAATGATTAGTAAGCTAGTATTACAGAAAATAGGATTAATAAGCATATATTATTGGACAAAATATTGTAAAGGTCATGTTATTTGTAATACCTCAAGAGGTATAAATAGGCTTGGTTTTAGACCAAGTAGGAATCGTCATGTTCATGATACAATAATAATAATAATATAATAGCCTTGTAACAAAGATATTATTGCTAATAAAGACACATAACACTTTTACAATAAATAATTGAACTTCTAATAAAATCCATAATAAACCTTTGCTGAAAAGCATATCTCACCTTAAATTAAGACCATACTAACTAAGGGACGCCTTAGTCAGACAGTGGAATATTTGTTGATTATTTTTAGGCTTTGCCAGCAGTACTTCCATTAGTACTGTAGAGAGAGATTGCGCAAGAGAGAGAGATTTTTAGGCTCTGAGCTGTGTGCCAATACAGAGACCTGAAATAGAGTTTTGAGTAGGCTCTGAGCTGTGTGCCAATACAGAGGCCTGGTATATACTTGAGAACCCTGAGCTGTGTGCCGATATAGGGAGATTTATATATTGGACTTTTATTTTATTTTATCTTATATATTTTATTGGACACAACCCAAGCTGTATTCGAATTTACACGCTCGCAGTATTTCAGTGTCCTATAAAACAGTGGAGAGATATAAAAGAACAATAGCAGATAATCATTTAAAAAAATGTATCAATACTTTGAAGAAAATAAACATAAATTATTTTGTTCTAACATTGATGATTGCCATTCAATGCATAGTTACAGAAATCCAAATACAACAACTCTATCATCTGCATATTATATTGCAACATGTGTTGCTAAAACTATAGAGAATAGTTCTCCTATACCAACAATAGAAAATAATATATCAACCCAATCCATAATCCTGGGAATATTGAAGATTGGTGGATTAATAGTATTTAGCACAGGGTTGGCAAATTGACTGGTCCATTGAGAACAGATGGATTTTGGACTGGTCCATTGCCCTTAATAGAATACTAAATATGTTTAAAGTGTTACACTAATGGACCCAATGGACCACCAATAGACCATCAATGGACAGCACATTTGCCAACCCTGATTTAGCAGATATATATATTGATTCATTAAGTAAAAAGTTACAATGTAAAAAAAATATAGTTGGCAAAGTAATAATTTGATTACCACAAATCAGTTTGATAGAATAAAACTTTTAACTGTTCATTCACATAGAGCAATATCATAATGATAGATCAATGATGAATTGTCACTTAGTTAACATGAAAGGATTAAATCTTAAAAACTTAGATGATTATTTAAATGTTATCTAAATGATTACAGACATTCCTTCATTAATTGCTTACCCCAAAAGTATATCATACCAATTGTTGCTGATTTTCCAGGCCAGTTATTTATAAGAAAATAAATAATTTTGCTTCATACACAAAATGAAGGTCAAGGTATATCACCAGAGATACCTGACTTTGTAAATAATTTTGCCCTGATTCTTGGTCCATACATGTAATGTATCATTGAATATGAGAGGACACATTATATTAGCTCATTGGAGTTTTTTGAAAAAATATTTAAATCAATTTTCAGACAAAACAAAATATTAGCACAAAGACCCAAACCTTGGAAAAACAACTTGCTTTTAGGTCAGCATGGCTTGAAATTGCAGAAGAAAATATTTAAAAAAATTTGGACAAGATATTGAATATCAAACATTAATAGATGTTGTGAGATAGTAAATCTTGGACCTATCAATTACCCGGCTAATATTGACCAATTAGAACGAACTTACTACGGAAGTC